AGCCGAATGAAAGGCCAAGGGCAAAGGCAAATCTAACCTTGATGAGATGGCCACAGAATACAACAACATGGTTAAGCATCTTGCTGAGTTAACTAGCTTGAAAAAAGCTGAAGTTGAAGTTAAAAAAGCTACTCTTGAGGAGAAGAAGCAGAGAAATCGTCGGAAAGATTATGATATTTTAATGAAGGACACAAGCCACATGACTCAAGAGCAACGTATTTCTCATGAAAAAATGTGTCAAGTAATTCGAGAGAGATGGAACTTTTAGATGTTGTATTACCTGTTTTAATCATCTTTGTATTTCTGTATGTTTTGATTGGAGGTATTCAACTTTTAGCTTGTATTTCATTTAAGTGGCTCTTGTTCTTGTTAAATTGTTAGTCAATCTTTCATTAAATTGTTCTTGTTCGAAATTAAATTTGTAGTATGTATTTTCACTTAAATTGTTGTTTGTATTTGACAGATGTATCTGTTAAACAATATGACTAATCAACTTAATGGTCAAAATAAATATCAGAAGATAAGGTATGATTCTGAAAAGATAATCGACTTCCTGGCACAAATAAGCATGTCAGAAGAAAAGGCATGAGCTGTGGCACGTTTATCAATTTGATAACTCAATTAATGTGTCAGAAAATAAATTATGGGTCATGAATGACAACTATATGCAATAGTGTGTATAATAATCAATTTGCTAGTCAAAATAAACATGTCAGAAGATAAGATATGGCTATCAAAGGTTAATTGATTTGCTGGCACAAATAGGCATGTCAGAAGATAAGACATGGGTTGTGGCACGTTTATCAATTTGATAACTCAATTAATGTGTCAGAAAATAAAGTATGGGTCATGAACGACAACTATATGCAATAGTTGTCGTTTATAATCAATTTTCTGGTCAAAATAAATATGTCGGAAGATAAAATATGAGTATAAAAATTTAATCAATTTGCTGGCACAAAATAAACATGTCAGAAGATATGGCATGGGTTGTGGCACGCTCATCAATTTAATAACTCAACTAATGGTCAATATACATATATACATTGATGTCTATATATTCAAAGCAAACTCACATATTTTTTCACATTCTTCAAATCATAGTTACGCACTTTAAATTCAATTAGAATCCTCCAAAAATGTCTCAAAATTCATATAGATCCGAGTCTAATTCATCATCATCCACCGATAGTGAAGATGGTGATGACACTAATGATTTAGAAGTTGAAATGATTTCATCAATCGTTCAACGAAGCCACAAGTTACTTCAAGCATACCATCATGAAATTGAAGTTCGTAGAAGAAGAAGGTTCATTCAGAAAAATCGAGAAGATGGGCATAACAGACTTGTAAATGATTATTTCTTTGACCATCCAATCTACCCGGATCATAAATTTCGTAGGCGTTTCCGTATGCGAAGAGAATTATTCCTTCGAATTGTGAATGCCAATCATCATATTTCCAGCAAAACATTGATGCAACAGGAAGACAAAGTTTGTCACCACTTCAAAAATGCACAACAGCCATTCGTCAGTTGGCTTATGGAGTCCCAGTTGACCACCTTGATGAGTATTTACGTATGGGTGAGTCAACTGCTATCAATTGCCTTTTTAAATTTTGTGAAAGTGTGGTTGAAATTTTCGGTGATGAATATTTGAGAAGACCGAACAATAGCGATGTTCAAACACTCCTCCAAATGCATGAAGAAAAATCATGGTTTTTCGGGTATGCTTGGAAGCCTTGATTGTATGCATTGGGAATGGAAAAATTGTCCAGTTGCTTGGAAAGGTCAATTCACAAGAGGGCATGGGTTTCCTACGATTGTCCTTGAAGCGGTTGCTTCACACTATTTGTGGATATGGCATGCCTTTTTGGTGTTGCAGGATCACGTAACGATATCAATGTATTGTATGAATCTGCTCTATTTAATAATGTGTTGCAAGGAAATGCACCAAACATTCATTTTACTATCAACGGCACACAATATGCAAATGGGTATTATCTTACAGATGGAATATATCTAGAATGGCTACGTTCGTAAAGTCTTTTCCTTGCCCATCAGATCCTAAAAGAAAGTTATTTAAAGAAAAACAAGAAGCTGCTCGAAAGGATGTGGAAAGAGCATTTGGGGTGCTTCAGTCTCAATGGGCAATTGTAAGAGGTCTTGCTCGATTTTGGTATAGAAGAAAACTGAAATTTGTTACGTTGACATGCATTATTCTACACAATATGATTGTTGAAAATGAAGGAGTTGTAGTATCACATTGGCACAATGACGAGGATGAAGAGCCCGCACAACCTGTCCAGGATTCAAATCGAGCATTTCAAAATTATATCTGTAGAAGTTCAGAGATACGAGATAACACAGTGCATCATCAATTTCGTGCCGATTTAGTTGAGCATATTTGGACTCATTCTAGCCACTAAAAAAATTATTTTTTGTAATTGTACTATTTATTCTTGTGTAATCTTAATTTAAGTTATTTTGGTCTTGTAGTGTTCTTTTAGCTTCATGCATTTAAAATTTCTTTTTATAATTTAAAAATATTAAATTTTTATTTTTGTTGAGAATAGAATATTAAAATTTATATTGAATGAATGGATATAATGGGTCTCATATTTGTATTTAAATGAATGTGTAGGGATGTGGGTGTATGTTTAAATTGAGAGAGAATTAGTGAAAAGATGATGTGGATGAGAGAGAGTGTAACTTTTTGATTGAATGAATGGAAAAAAAGTTAAACCAATGTGGATGCCCTAACACCGTTAACTGAGGTACGTCTACAATTTCTCTTTTAAAAAATTATGCATATAAAACAATTTCATTATTGGTTTGTGATTTCCTGTGGGAAAGTTATTCGAACTTTTAACTTTTGGTGTTTTTGCTGATTTAATATTTGATAGTGAATGTTATGTGTGAATCTATATCGAAATTCATGTTTTTCTTTTCATATTGGTTGTTTATTTTAAGTTTTCATAATTTGAAAATCTATACAAAACTGATAGTTTAAGAATAAATTTAAATGTTATAATGTTGCATGCTCATTAAATAAAAATCATTTGTATTTCATAGTTAAATTTAAATATTTTACTATATGTTGTTTACTGTGAATGTTATTATCAATTATAAAACTAATTAAGTTGGTGTTGTTTTCATATTTAATGATTGTACTGACTTGCGTTTTCAACATATGTTGGTGCCGAAACCTGAATATGCTATTTTCACCATAAATAAAAATATTTTATAGGTTCAGTAAGTCATCACATGCTTCAGTTTTTTAGCACAAATAGACCAAAAGTAACACTTAAAATTTGAAAATTATTTGTGTAAACATGTTTAGTCATATTAAGTTTATTGTGCCGTTATGAATTGTATTTCAATTGTGTATATATCATTTTTTTACATTAATATCGTTTTTACATTGATATACTCCAAATAGTTATTTTACATTAATAAAGTAGATACTCTGAATAGTTATTTTATTTTTACATTAATATCGTTTTTTATTTTACTTTATACATATATGAATGTATCAGTGTATATGATGATGTAATTAATTGAGTTAATTCCTAAAGCAAGAATGAATAAAAAATGTGAATAGCAAGAATGAATCAACAACAAAAATAAATTATTTTATTTAATCAGTCTAAGTTCTCAAACCATCAAATATAATACTCAAATAAAACTACTAATCTATCGAAAAAAATAAAATTATCTTCAAGATCAACAATATTCGTTCATCTTATTGCCAAATGATGATAACTGTTTATCTTTGTCGTGCCGTTCTCACATTTTGCAGATTCTGTGGCAATAATTAGAATGAGATGCTTGCTTCTACTTTGATTTGAGTGCGTCCATGCAAGATCAACTTGAATTTAGCGATGGTCGACCTATAGTTGCCAAGGTTGCTATCCAATTCATAATTACGAATAGAATAGATATTGCCATCCTCTAGTTTTTTGCTTATATTCGGAATATAAACATTGCATACCAAACAGATAATTTGTGCTCCCTTCAATTATAAGAAATTAGTGATCAAACAGAATGATAGTGTATGTAGCTGAAATAGTAATAAATAAAAATTTTGTAGAAAAATACCTCTATGTCCGCCTAGGCGCCGCCTGGCCGCCGAGCCCGCAAAGTCCGCCTAGGAGCGCCTAGGGCCGCCTAGCCGCCTAGGCCGATTTTTAGAACAGTGCTTGTACGTTGCGGTTATGGCCAACGGTGGACGCGACGAGGGGCGGCGGTGAAGAGGGCGCGTTGGAGCTTTTTAGGGTTTTCGACCGCGACGGGCGGGTTCATCACGGAAGATGAGCTGAGGTCGGCTCTGGTAGGGCTGAGGCTGAAGTAGGTGAAGGCGCTGGAGGACTACTGGAGGATGATCGTTAGGGTTGATTTAGGCAGCGACAGAGGGTCAACTTCGATGAGTTTTGACAGATAAAGTGTGGCGGGCTCGCAAGGCTGGGATGACATTGGTGTGACGGTTGGTCAGTTGTCAGTTCAAATGTTTGGCTGTAAATAAATTGTTTCTTTATATATATATATATACATACATATAATTATGTTTTGATGTGCAAATTACATTTGTCAATTGGTTGATGTAATTAATGGATTTTGATTCTTGCCTCCAGTTTTAATTGGGCCGAGAAAAAAATTATGTTTTTTAAAAGCAAAATTGTTGTCAGTGGGAGCCAGAGAGGTTTCTGGAGAGAACTAAGGGCAGGGGTTTCGTGATGAGGTCGTTGTCCCACTGAGAGTGGTGCTGGAACACGCGGCGGTGACCGGATTCGTAACCCACTGCGACCGGAGCTCCATCTTGGAGGTTGTGACGCGTGGGGTTCCAATCATTGGGTCGCCGATCTACGCGGATCAGAGGATGAACATGGTGTTAATGGTGGAGGAGATAGGGGGTAGTCCTGCCGCTGGAGGATGGGGATGACGAGTTCATGGATGGGGACGACGATTCATGGAGCTGATGGACTCGAAGGCAAGTTGAGGCATGAGGGAACGGGTCGAGGAGATGATGAGAGCGGCTGAAGCGGTTCCTTCAACCAAAGTAGGTATTTTTTTTTCTGAAATATTTTAGTTTACCCCACCTTCGACACATGTAATTCAAGTTTGAAATTCAAATTACTTCAAGTCCATAATTATATCTATGACTTGATTTTTGAATACAAGTTAACATATTTGATATATTTTTTATATTTTGATATACCCAACAAAGCATTTCCCAGGCCCGAGAAAGACTTCTGTCACTTTCTCAAATCCTCTACTCATACTATGGATAGGGACCCGTCTACTGAAATTCAATTCCTCGAACTCATATCTCTCTAAAGAATCTCAGTCATGCTATTAGCTACTGTTCTTATCTCAACTCACCCTTCTACCCGTAAGGGATGGGTACTCATTCCCGGCCGCTTTCAGTTCATGTTCATTGCTGAGTTACCGCTCACTATCTGGCTGGAAAAGGTGGTCCTCCAGAATAGTAGTCTGGTGGGGTAAGCATCCCAGCAAGCCAGACGAGATCACCATTTCTCTCAGTAATGGACTTCCTTTGCATTCTTCCTTAGCCAACGATGTCCTTTCATCTCGAATCTCGTACTACACAAGCGCCCAGGATTAACAGAAAGAAGATATTATTCATTAGTTCCCTGTTGGGAAAACCAACGCCATTTCAGTAGCAGTATCAAAGTCTTCCCTCATTTTAGAGCTAGAAGCTACTCTGGAGAGAAAAGAGAAAAGACAAAATGGGATAGAATAGAGAAAAATCGAAATAGACAGCTAGAAACCTCTAATAGTCCGATTGACGATCGAATTCGAAGAGCCATCGAGCCCGCCCAACTGGCAAATAGAGTTGTATGCATTATATGAATGGAAATTAACTGGACGGGATCATTCAATACAACGGTACGAACACGATACCAAGACAAACACATGGAAAATACCCCTTTATCAAAGATACAAGAAATACTGCGTAACTTTATTGCATTGAAAAACATGACTATCTTATAGACCCCCTCTGTTCGGAAGATTGAAAGCTCAGATGGATAGACTAGCTGGTTTATGAAGAAGGATTTACCTAGATCAGGAAAATGAAGAGGAAAAGTAGTTCACCCTTCGGGTTCCTAGAAGAGGAAAAGTAGTTCACCCTTCGGGTTCCTAGTCCGGTTGATGCCGTAGGAAAAAAATAAACAAGAGCTACAACCACTAGAAAAGAAGATGCTGACTGACGCTCAGATTCGGCACTCAAACCTAAAAAACTCACTCCCAGCTAGCCTTCCAAGAGCGGGGGCGAATAGGACTAAGCATGAAGGCTGCAAGATAGAATGAAGGTTTCTACTTCGAGACTTAGGTACTCTCTATCAGAGTTTCTTTCTAAAGTGCTCTGTCACTCTGAAAGTCCTGATAGTGATCTAACTCCTACTTTGCAGTTCAGCAAAATAGACCTTAAGACTGATATTTTCATGTTTTGTCTCATGCACATTCTTCCAACTCTAAAAGACACTTAGGCCTTATTACCCACTTTTCATAGGTCTGAGAGACAACATTCTATATCTCATTTGTTGTCTTCAGTAGGAGATAACCATTACCAATCTCTTATTGCATAGAATGAATCAACCAAAGGGATATATGCCATTTTGCTACCTCAACCAAAACTTCTATGACTTTACTTCTAAAGATGTAATTGACCTCTCCTTCCTTTATAGTCAAGTCTCAATATTGTCCTCATTCACGAATTTTCTTTCCGAAAATTCGTGAGGAAATCCCACTTTAGTTAGTTTCTTTTATTATTATTATTATTATTGAAAGTGAGTTAAATCATAACAAATGTTGTGCTTAAAAAAATAAAGATATAGAACATTAACAACATGATCATCTAATCAAGAAAATCAATAAAAGCTTATTTACGGTTCTCTAATAAGGTTTTATTATTTTATAAATCCTCATTATTTAGCAAATATATATTTGAGCATAATTACTAAAAATATTATCTATGATTAATGTTGACAATCAACTCAGTCTGTCGAATCAGAGGGTGCCGCGTGGGAGATTAAATCACGAATATATAAATGAAATACCAAAAGGCTAGAAGAAGAAACCGAAAGTTTGGCGTGAAACGCAAGATAGACTGACCTCGCCAGCAGAATGAAGACCGAATTCAGTTGGGATGCAAGACTGACCTCATTTGGAATGGAGATCAAGCCGACAGAGATAAGACGCCTGTCAAACAACCGTTGGTCGCACATGCCCTTATCATTGCATGGGGGCCCACTTGCAGAATAGCCAACTCTATGTGGTCAACTCGCATTAAATGCCAATGGATCGTCTCAAAAGACGAGCCATTACTATAAATAGTAGCATTTACTCCAATACGAGGATCTCTCTTTTCGACACATTAAATTCGAAGATTAATTAACTCGGTTCCACACAAACCGGCTTCTTGTATTCAAAACCCGACTTAAAGATAATACAAATACAACAAATTTACGACTTTCTTTTCACTTAATATCCCTAGTTATAGTTGTTAAATTTCACATGATAACAGTTTAGCACTAGAGGAAGGGCTCCATAAGATACTTGGAATTAATTTTCGAACCAGCAAACTTTCTAAACACATCACAAACGCCACCTTACTATAATTTCCAGCAATACAATGTCTCGATCAGGACAAGAAGAACAAACGTCAAGGGTCGGCGCTAGCCCCAGAGCTGCCCCAACTGCCGGTAGAGCCAATGCGACACCGGCAACGATGGATTTTTTCGCGTTGTTCCAAAACCCAGAGTTCGTGAAGGGATTCTCAGCTCTCATGGCTTAAACCATGCCGGGAACTTCGAAAACGATGCTCGGACCCTCAATAACACCTATCACCCTGGCGAGACCAAAAGCGCCGCTAATCCAAACCCATGGCGGCGGTGCAGCCGCATCACACGCTACTTCTCAGCCACGTGAAAATCCACCACCGCCACAAAGGGAGAACGTCGCAACTCAACCAAAGGCCAATCTCCAAGAAATGACGGCGGAAAACCACTATGGACATCCTCGCAAGCCTACGACAGCAGCTCGACCACTATTCTAACAGCCGGCAAGACAAACTGACCTCCGTTAACAGATCGAGAAGAGTTGTTCCGCCAGACAGGAGGCGACCGAGTTAGAAACCCTATGAAAGAAGATTGCCGAGCTCGAAGCTCGATCGAAAGTGCAGGTGCAATCCCCACGAAGGGCTCCCATCTCGGAGCACGTGTATGTAGAAACTGACTCTCCGCTGGCTAAGAGAATAATATTAGTCTTATTATTGGTTAGAATATTTAGTAAGAGAGCGTGTCTTGTTGGACAAGTTAAGAGTAGGGTTTATGAGTCTTATGTAAAGGATCCATCCTCTTTTGTGTTCCAGAGTGGAATATGAAATAAAAAATTGATTGAGTTTATCGTGTTTTGAGATTGAGATCTCGTTTTATCCTTTCCACTCGTCCGCTTTCCTACATCAGTTGCTATCAGCAATCAGTACAAACGTAGATCGATGACACCACTAAAACGACGAGATGCCACAAACGAACAACGTGACGCAGCCGTCAACGACCAGTTTAAACAGATCGATGACTGGGTTCAGCAGTTGGACGAGCGTTTCACATAACGGTTTGAGGATCTTTCTTCGGGGATTGTAGATTTGCGTTTGACGCTCAACAACGTGGTCCAGGAATTACAAACTTACCGTGACGTCGGTGACCCGGGCGTGCACAGGGGATTTAGCGGCGGACGTGGTGGCCGTGGTCTAGGCGGGACGCCCCGCCGACGATCGCCACAACCACTGCCCGACGATGAAGACGACAAGGATACCATCTTAGGGGTGAATCCCTTCGGCGAGTGGCAACCTCCGCATGTTGAGGCTGAGCTGTTTGATGCATATGGTAGCCTTGATATGCGGCGACAGGCCCGGTCTACGCAGAAGGTGACGACCAACGCCGCGAAGGGGGAAGGCCCGAGGATGCAGCCTTCGCAGGCGAATATCGTTCGCGACGCGTCTGGAGGCATGAACGTTATGGAGCTGCTTCCGATGGGTCGAGTGTTGGTCTATAGATCATGGGGTTGTGTGTATTGTTCGGCGAGGAGTCCGGCAACCCCGACGCGACCAGTTTCTATGACGGTCCACCGGTGTTCGATAAAGGACCCAATGAGGTTGAGCTTCTTACCGGCGACACGGGAAACATTTACGACAGATTGCTGATTTTTTATGAGGAGCCTCCGGGGCCGGAGGAATTCCATTATGTTCCAGGTATCAAAATTCAGCTGTTGGAAAAATTTGTTGTTCGGTTGGTCACATATGATCTCCCAGGCTTTGGCGAAAGTGATCCTCATCCTAACAGAAATCTTCGCTCATTTATGGGAAAGGCTTAACAATAGACATGGACAGAAAAGGTTGCACCTTAGAGAAAGTATCTAGTCCTGACCTCGTTAGGGAAAAGTAAAATAAGGGTACGAATGAAGCAAAGCGAATTTGGATATGTTGTATTTGACACTTTCTGTGGGAGGAAATGAAGGAATGGGAGTAGTGTGATTCCCTGTCAAAAAGCTTCATGAAAACTCAATTCTGTTCCCACGTCTTGTTGACAAATGTGATAGGCAGAGGTCGGTTCCATTTGAGATCGGCGTTTGTGTGTGGTACAACGGATGACGCAGCGGGGTGCAGATTCGAGGGTTGATCCTATCCAACGGGAGGAGAATGATGTAGGCGAGATATCGTCGAACATCATTAATTTATGATATATATTTATTTCCTTTTATTATTGGTCATTTTATTATTATTCCTTTTATTTTTAGTATCTATACATATATAATAAGATTTACCATTTTTTAAAAATGGCAAGTGAACTGTCTGGTCAAATCTCTCTCATCATTAATTACTTTCCATTAATGGCAAACTTTTTTTTTTTAAATATACCATGGACAACATTAATTTGTTACATTTGTTGATCAAAAAATGCGGTTGTACGAGTTTATTCTTTTTAGAAAAAATTTCAAATTTCAAATTGCCAAGATAAGACGGAATTAGTTCGGATCAAACAATTTAGAAATGCAATCTTTATAAGTTTGTTACATTGATTGGTAAAAAAATGCGGCTATACGTTTCAACAAATAGTTTTTATATTTCCTACTAATCCGAAATTGGTTATATTTCAAATTGAATATCTAAAAAATTTAAATATTAAAAATCATTCGTGATTTTGTAGAACGATTTTTTTTAGACCTAATTAAACATAAAGATATATTGTTTCAATTTCTTAAAAATCTNAGTTTTTTCCTTAAGAATCGGATTCACATTTTATCAGCCATCAAAACAGAATTATGAGCCCTATAAATATTCAAGATGCTAAACAGAGATAATCACCTGACACGCATCTATAAAAACACATTTCCAAATATCAAAATACCACCAAGCAACAATGGAGATCCCCTTCGGTGTCATTAATCAAATTGAAAGAAACAAGAGATGTCCATTAAAACTTCGTGTGGTTCGTATGTTTGAGCTTGAGTCTCCTAATCTTCAACACAACATCTTGCAGATCCTTTTTCAAGACAAGACGGACCTAGGCGCTCCTAGGTGGGTTCGACGATAATTTTTCATTTTTTTTTTAAATTCTATTTACATTATTTTATTCTCATTTTTTCTGTAAAATATATTAATATTATTATTTGGACTTAGATGTGTGGATTTATTATAAGCTGAAATAGTTTTTTTTTGTAGCTAGTTAAAATACATAAAAAAATAAGGTGTTTAATATTAATTTCGGCGCTAGGCGCTGGTCGAGCACTCCTCCTCCAACACATGGATCTCGAGATTCTTCAGCTACTCGCCTAGCTCCTCCCGGCTAATCTTGTCTTTGCTGTTCCGATTGAGCATGGAAAATAATACTTCCTCTGTTTCTTAATACATGTCGTTGTAGGATGTCAACATTATTGCAAATTAGTTGTCGTTGGAAATATTTTATTCATTTTTTCAACTTTATCCTTTTTAACAAACTTTATCTCTTATCATTATCTTTAAAAACCAACCATTAATAATTCAAACACTAAATTTATGAGGATTAATATATAAGATTATTACACATCCCATGAAAATCGTAATTTAGAAGTTTTAAATTAAAACTACACCTAAAAAGAAACAGAGGGAGTATATGATTAATTTGCACGGATGCATACCAAAATAAAAAATCTGATGTACAAATGGTTAATATCGATAATAAGGGTTTTAAACACACACACACACAAAAGATAATGATGCACGGTTGGAAAGTAAATTTTTCTGGATATTAATAAAAAATTGAAGAAATAATTTAAAAAAATTAAATTTCCCATAAAACAGCAATGCAATCTGATGATTTGGGGATTTTGATTAGGAATTTAATTCCTATATAAAACAACAAATATAATATACACGTTGATTTTGTCAATGATTTTAATTTTCAATTTTAAATCAAATCCAATGTGCTTTAAGCAAGATATTTCAAATTTTTTCGAAAAAATTACGACTAATAATAAAAAAGAAATTTTTTGGAGGAATTTTAGCTTATTTTATAAGTAAATTCATATTCTTATTATATATTATAATAGATTTTAACAAATAGAGTGGGCACATTTGTAATTTCGACGTCCAATCCGCTGTTGTCTATATAATGCCTTCGCTACCTCGAAAGCTAGGGTTTTCTTTCTCAGCGCCCCCACCCCCGAAAGCTCCCCGAGAGGTAGGAACAATGGAGAAGGGAAACAAGGCCAGGAAAGAGGAGGTCGTCACCAGGGAGTACACCATCAATCTTCATAAACGCCTCCATGGATGGTAAGTATACTTCCTCTTTCTCTCTTCAGTCACCCACCTCTGCTGCTTGAGCCTCACTGACCATGTTTTACATTTCTATGTCGTTTATTCTTCCGTTTTATCCTTTTCTTTGTGCAGATACTTTGTGCTTGCGTTATTTCATTTGAATGTTTTTGTATATTCAAAAGTACTCTTCTTGTAGTGCAACAGTATGAATTTCGCAATTTCAAAGTTGTCAATGCAGGAATCTAGAATTTGGACTAGAAGATTGTCTCTGTGTCTCTTTATTTATTGTCCTTGACAGCAAATAGTTTTCAGGATTTCTACTGACTTTTGATTTGGTTGGACTCCTAGTTTTCTTTTCATGTTTCTCTTGCCCCTATCTACACTCCTCGTTTTGTCATATGTTTGGTCTGGCTTTTGATTAATATGCCATCAAAATGTGATGTTTGCGTCTCAACTAATGAATTATTGTAAATGGTGATATAGTACTCTGATTTTTATAGCAAAAGTAAGTAAAAACTATTTACCAAGAATGAGTCTGTATATAATGTTGTGATTCCAACCTTTAATATGTTTATTTAGTATGGTTTTCATCAATTACCTATGATCTCTGCTGATGTAGGTCAATATTGTAGTATTTGTTTTTTAGTGTATAATGTGCTAATTAATTTTATTGCCTTTTTGGATGTAGCACCTTCAAGAAGAAGGCTCCAAAGGCCATCAAAGAAATCAGGAAGTTTGCCCAGAAGGCCATGGGGACCACTGATGTCAGGGTGGACGTCAAACTGAACAAACACATTTGGAGCAATGGGATTAGAAGTGTGCCGAGAAGAATCCGTGTCCGCATTGCGCGCAAGAGGAATGATGATGAGGATGCAAAGGAGGAACTTTACTCTTTGGTCACTGTTGCTGAGATTCCGGATGGAGGGATCAAGGGACTTGGCACCCAAGTCATAGATGAAGAAGATTGATCTGTTCCTTTTTCTGTTTTGAGCACTTGCTGAACTCAGTTTTGCTGTAATTCATGATTTATCTTTTGTTTAGAGAGCTATTGTTATGTGGCTGAGATTGCAGTTCTACATGTTTTGAGACTGTTTTTACATACTGGTGTCAACTTGAGGTCTTATTGTTTAATCTGAAAAGTATGATATATCTTCCTTCCACAGCTGTATAAGCCCCTTTCTATGATTTTGTGCAGTATAATTTGCTTGATCTCTCTAGCTCATTGAGTCAACACTGCTGCAGTCATGTTGACCAATTGAAACCGTAAAACATGGTGACAATTAGTTTTGGGATTCAGGCCATGGATAGATGAAACATTTTATGAAACCACTGCCGACTTTTTCTCAGTGTGAAGTAAAAACTGGCCTTAGAGAATGGGGTGACTTGTGGTGTTATGTCCTGGAATGTTCTGGGTGCAGTCAAATTTTGGTGCCTGCTATTTGAATAAAAGCTGATGGTGATAGTATAAAGTTGGTATAATGTGCTTTTATCTATCTCTAGGTGAGACTGCAAATCTCTACAAGACCATGAAAAGTTAAGTTGCACTAGGTAAGCTGACTTGAAATCTATATATGTATAGGGATTAGATTCAATGAGTCCCATTATTTAAAATGGGAATGTGAGGCTCAATCCTAGTCATTAAATAAGAAATAAGATGTGTGATCAATACATAATTTTTTATATTTAATTATTTAAATATTGATTAGACTGTTGACTTTTCGGCATTGACCGTTGACTTCCAACGTTGCATTATGTGTAAGATAAATATGCATTGTGAATAAAGTAAAATATATATTCGAAATAAGCAATGGATATGAACTAAATATGTATACTAAATATGAATTTTTTTATGAACCAAATATGCATTGTGTATGAAGTTAATGTGCGATCGAATATGTAGCTCATATGATCTAAATATACATTTTGCATTAACTAAATATGTACTTTTTATGACTAAGTGTGCAACAATATATCAACTAAGTACGTATACATTATTCATGAACTAAATATGCACCTCGTATAAACTAAATGTGCATTGTGTATGAATTAAATGTGCAGTCAAAATATGCAATTGACAGCAATATACTGGAGCCTTCTACTGTCTTTATGTTCTCAACTAAGTATGCATTATGGATGAAACTAAATATAAATTCCATATTACCTAAATATGCAACAAAAATAAACTAAATATGCATTAATTAAATTACAAAAAACCAAGGGGCAAAGTACAATTATTAAAACTTTAGATAAATTGTAGATTGACCCCGAGGGTCAAATTACAATAACTCATAAATTTCTGAAATTGCAACTAAATTCGTAGGATTTGTTTGAAATTTTGGGGGATATACCAGAATTGCGCTAAGTATAATAACAAGCAAACTTAGATGTAAATTCAAACAATTGCGGAAGCAGAGTTCTACAAAACATGAACCTTTAGGGGAGCATCTCACACCCTCTCCGGAACTCTTTCATATATGTAAATGTTTGACCCATTATAAATCGGATTTACAATGAAGACTCCTTCTTCACTACCTATCTTGTAATCACTCACTACACTACTTTTTCAACCACAAATCCCTTGTGGATTTTTACAACTCAAATCCCTTGAGTTCGATCTAAGTGTTCCTCCCGAACACTTATACAAATAGTTTCCAATAAAATTCCAAGCTCACTGAGATCGAGAACAGACTATCGACTCCACACTCATAAAATAAAATCAAAGATACACACAAATATCCCTCGAGTGGTTCACCTCCATTCTCTCCTCTCGGCACTTCANAATCTTCAAAAACAACTTTTCCAGTTGTGTTTCGAAACCTTTATATCTCAGCACAATATGATAAGTTTTGTTGATTTCTTCAATCTCCACAATTATCACGTTCCTGCTCCTCTAGATATATTTTCTCCCTCGCAAGTCATTTTCTAGATGGTAAGTTGGACTCGCAATATTCTGCTGCCATATATAAGGAAGTTTTTCAATATGCTCGATTCTTATGCATGGTAAGTAGGACACATCCTCTTAATCACGCGCGACTGCTCCAAGGAAGGTCGAATTCCATTCCTGTTAATATGATAAATAAAATAATAAAGTCCAAGCTAAATAGATTTAAGAAAATAAAATAAGATAAACAAACTTCCCTTTTTAATGCACAGTTTCAGAGACTGATGAAGGTTCGTTCTAAGCTTCAAGTCAAAGTTGTCGATTTAATGTCAATCCTCATAATCTTACAGTTTAATTTTAAAAGACAAGCCCTTCCCAAAAAATCCGACTTTCAACACTTGCCCCTCATCTTGACCCTCGACATTCTCTCCCCCGTCGTGCCCTCTTCGTGGCTGCCCTCCACGCGATGACTGTCCGAAAAATGAGGATGTCTTTTAAACTTGTCGCATGCGCCTGAAACTGGGAACCAGTCTGACCCGCGTGCACTCTCGGTCAACGTCTCACCAACGTCCCCCTTCCTCGTCGCGCAAATCTATTGGACAACGCCACGACCATCGACATCATGGTGGACGGGGTCTGAGTCACCAACCCCAATCTGTTTCTCGGGTCGAGAATCGTGAATTAATGTGATTTTGTTGAGGCGACCTTTCTTTTTCGGCCACCACTCACCAGCGCGACCAACAACTTATTTCCGGCAAGCACTCACTCATCATCTGGGCTCAATTCTGACCAGCCCATCCGTCGATTGAAGCCCGCATAATTGACCCCAGACTAAGCCCTCGGCCTTCGCGCCGCCTCCTCTCTCTCAGCCCTCGGCCTCAGCCTCCCGCACGGATCCGTCATCTCCGTTTTGTCCCCCAACATCCCCGCCAAAGATCAATGACGGTCGACGACTGCGAGCCAACGACGGTCAATAGCTGTTGGGAGTCAATCAACACCGGCAGTTAATTATTTTATTATGTAATTAGTTTGAATATAATAACTATTATTTTTTATTATGTAATTTATTGTAAATATAGCCTACACACTCAATGCTAAGGTTGGACTTCACATGAACTAAATATGCATTTTGTATTAACTAAATTTGCATTATGTATGAATTATATAAGAATCATGTGTAAAATATGCATTGTGTATAAAAGTAAATATATACTCCAAAATGTTTAAATCCAGAGTCAATGGTTAACACATTAATCGAATGTCAAAACCATTTTGTAAACCAGCCATTTGAAACTCTCTATCGGTTGGATTAACATGAGTTCGTGCATTATCTTGTTGATTGAAGATGATCTTTCCGAAATCCTCTTTTGGCCACACTTCTTGAATTTTTGGTATAACCTTTTCGATTAAAAACGTTTTTACTATCTCTCGTGTGACAGAGGTAATCGGATTGAGCTCCAAAGTCCTAGTTTCTCTATTTCGACTCTTTCTTTGGGTTGTATTTCGATAAACGGAAAGACTTCTATTTTCCCAGAGACAACTTATTTTCCTTCATCAACAAATCGTGGACAAGCCATAGCAACAAGAAACATTATCTTCACAATAAAATTCTCGTTTTGGCAACTATATAAAGGCTCTTCTTCGTCTGGAAGTAAATAATAAGTTTCACATTTTTTGGTCATATAGAACCATTTTTCATCAATATGCATGATATTGTACATACCAACAAACTTCAGCTCATGACAAATGATATGTGCTTCGAGCATTGATATGCAAAACTATAAACGAGCTAGTTTGTTATCTTCTTTGAGATATGGCTTAATGGTATTTGAATGGTGTCGAAGAAGACCTCTTTACATTTTTGCATAATATTGTTGGGCTCACTTTTAGACTATGTGCAAGTGATCCCAGAGTTGTTCGCTTGCGTAATGGAACTTCGCCCACTCGATGAGGATCGATGTACACTCTCTTTCGTGCACAATTCTCGTTCTTCTGTGTACACGTCTACTAATGCTCCATTTGAAGTATTGCTCGTATCCAAACACGTTGAACTGTTCGTATAGACACGAATAGTAAAGTAGAGACCTCTTTTGTTGTGTCTTGTTTCGACTTTCTGTTGACACTTCTTGGTAGTAAAGCATTATAGATTGCCTCTCTTTGATCATTTGATAAGTTTTTCTTTTGTCTTCTTTCTTGTGACCCTGTGAACATCATGTAACAATTAAAAATTGACTATATTCTAACAATTTAAAACTAAATGGTTTTTTTTATATCTTGGTTTTGTATATATAAATATAATAGAAACTAAGAACTTACAAATGGAAACATAATGGCTTCTATAATGATAACCAAGAAAAACTCAAACTATATATTCAAGAAAGATTGACGAAATAAGAAAACACATTAGAAGTAAGGAATTATGTTTCCCAAGAGTAAAATGATGTAAGAGCCAAATTTTCTGTAAATGAAAAAAGTATCCGAGTTCAGTCCAAAAACGTCTTCATCATCTTCTTGTAATCGATTAACCTCTAATTCTATTAGTGGAGTTTCAATATTTTGATGTGGATCCACATTCAAATCAGGTAACAATGTACCTTCTACAAATGATAAGACTGTAATCGAAGTATTATCCTCGATCTCCTTATTGCTTTATGGCTCCAAATTCGTTGGCACCACATTTAAGTCGAAAAAAAAATAAAAATAAAAATTGTTCTGGCATGATTTTCCATATTTGAAGTCATTGTTGTTAGTATTTGAGTCTCGTTTATATATAAGAAACCGAACACAATGATTCTCTTCAAAAATTATCATCATGTTTATTTTGAATTCATCAAAATTTTGAAATTTTTAGGAAAGGTCTGTGGTGGTTGTACGAAATTTTCATGGGAAGGAGAAAGTGATTAACATTCTAATTAATCATGAGGAACAAAATAATTACATAATAATAGTGATAGTTAATGTGAGGGAGAATAATTATAAAAAAATAAAAAATAAAAACACAAATACTGACAGTTAACGTAAGAAACACAAAAAGAATACTATTAGAAAAATAGTTATACTTATAGAAGAATACTGATAGTTAACGTGATAGGAAAAAATAGAAATACAAATATAAATGTTTATATCGATTGACAAATTGAGAATGAGAGAAATACAAATGTAAAATGTTTACATCGATTGGAAAACTGATGAAAAGAGAAACACAGATACAAAATGTTACAGATATAAAATGTTTATATCGATTGGAAAACTGATAATGAGAGAAATACAAATATAAAAAGGTTATAGCGATAACCATCATGGAAAACTCGGAAGGAGAGAGAAAATTATTTAAAATGTATTTAAATAAGATTTAGGAAAATTTAAGTAGAAGAATAAGATAACTAATTCATTTGAATACCTAATTTTGTTCTTTTAAGCTAGAACAACAAATCTATATCTATATAATGGATCAATCCTTATTGCTATAACTGGCATGATTTTGGGCAGGAAATTTTTTCGTCTATACTTGGCATTTAATTAATATTTATTTATTAGGAAATGTTATGCATGAAAAACATATTTAATTTTTTTACACACAATGACTATTACTCAGTAACTACAAATTGGCTTAAATTAAAATTTTGACCGTAGATTTATTATATATATATTCAATAAGATCATATATTAATTTATTAGTAATTTATTGACAAAATTCAAAAAATTATTATAGAAATTGGTTTAATTAAATATATTATCATTTATGGCTGTAGGCATTAATTTAATTACTTAAATTCACTATTCAGAAGTACTTAAAATATTTAATAAAATGATTAGAATAACTGCGTTTAAATCATACTAACTTAATAAATAATTTAGAATATTAATAATAATTTCTGAAATGTAGTCAATTTAACTATGAAAAGGTACACCCCATTGAATATATTATACGCAGTGATAATAATTTTGAAAATTTAAATAATATACTATAAAAATAAAATTTGATGGTCGGGTGCAATTGAGAATTATAAATTTCACCTTATAAGTATCTTTGTACATTAAAAAAATATTCAATATTTATTAATATATATTTTTTATATACTATTTTATCATGAAAAATAAGTTAAGAAAATGGATATGTATAATAATTTAAATTATAGCACTTGGTAATTATGGAAATATATAATATATCTAAATATTCGAATAGATACTATGTAACTCATTATATAGGTTGAAAAATAAATTAAATAAATAAATAAAAATAAAAAATGAAAACATAAAAATAAAATATTTAACCATTAAAAAATTTTGTGTTGCATAAGGGTTAAAGTTACTACAAATTAAAATTTATCTATCAAAGTTTTTACCATTTAATGCACTTAATAATTATAACGAAAAATAAATATAATGGGTTAAACGTTGGTCAATTATCAAGAAATGTGTAAATTATGAATTGTTGAAAAAATGATAAGACTATGATAAACGACAATTTTATTAGTATATACAAGTAATTTATATGCAAATATCATAATTTTATAAGTACATACAAGTAATTTGTATGCAAATATCATATAATATTAAACATTTATAATATTTTATAAACTTATAAAAAATAAAATTTATATATTAAATAGTCAAAAAAATATAAAAAAATATATATATAATATATATATACATAGAAATTAACAATAATAGTAAATAAATAAATGTCATATTATTACTAAATGAAATAGTACGCAGAATATAATTTCATATTGTCTTAAATACTCTTATAATATTTAAATAAAAAATATTTTTTATAATGTATTCGGTGTATCGCACTGATATCAACACTAGTACTATAAAAGAGAGAGTATAATATTACACATCATCTACCCGCCAATCATTTTTGAACTTTTCGGAAATGAGTGAGATTGGCGCCGCCGATAAACTTCGAACTTAAGCGGGCACACAACATTACCCTACTCCCTTTCCATTCCAAACACGTTTGAATCGAAACCTGTTCTTCGTTCTTCTTCTCAGCATTGGAGGATTCAGGTGTTCAATATATCACATTTTAGCTCTTTTCCTAATTGCGGTTCCAAACTGATTTCCACTTAGGTTAGCTTAGCTCTACTCCCACTCCTATTCAGACCAATTTGGATCGCAAGCTACTGTTCCTTCTTACCATTGGCGGGTTCAGGTACCCAATCTTATTTTTCCTAATTTCAATTGCAAGCTGGTTTTCACCATGTTAGCTTGATTTGATCTGCTAAGTTTTGCAAATTTACCTAATTCAGTTCCGGTGGTGCATGACATTTGATTCCATTAACCTTGTACAATTCATGGGTAACAAACATCTGTATTAGTCGATATTATCATCTGGATATAAGGGGATTTTCGCATCTGGGTTTCAGGCTGTGGCTAGTTGTTTCATGCTTGTTTGTCGAGCACAAATGAATCTATGTTCTGCAATATACACAGAAAGCTCATAAAAATTGAGTCAGATTTTGGAAAACAGCAAAACACATACATGTTTATTTATTATTTTTTGTAACACAATTGGATTCTGAGGTTGGTTGCACAAGTTCTCGGTTTGATTGTTATAGCAGGAGCCTTGGCTTCAGTAAAAATAAGTGGGTTTAACTGACTCTGTTTGTATTAGATTCTACTTCATTTAAAAATTTGGCCAATGCTTTCTTGGAACACCCTTTTATGAGATTTCATTTAGGGATGGTTTTTAAAGTTTGTAGATTAGGAAGCTGAGTGCAGATGAGTTGTTTGAGGATAAAAATGGTAGAACATGATTTTATTTTAGCTAAGTTCTCAATGAGGTCAATTTTGCTTTGACCTTTCCCATAAAATAAGGAAAGCATCAAAGGCTGGACTTTCTTTAAACTCTTTAATGTTTTGATACCAACTTGTAAAGATTCCTTTGTTTTGAAAGCCATATCCTTCTGTTCAGCCATACATGTTCCCTGTTCTTAAAATACTTGCTTCAAGCTTTTTCATAATTACTATGTTGTCTCCTTGTGTAAATCTTAAGAACACAGGCATTAGCGGTGTAACTAGTCTTTGTTACTTTACTATTGCAAGTGCCCCAAGTAATTGTCAATTGGGCCTTCTTTGAAATAGATGGAAAGCAATCCAAAGAAGTCTCCTAAACTAGGGAACCCTGCGGATATTCCTGATGCAAAATATATTTCTGGACTCAGCACAATTCTGGTTGCGACGATACAGGAAGCTAAAGACCGTATTTCTCAGATAGAATATATATTTTGCAGTCAGCTCTTTCCAAGATTTCAATTAAATTCTGAAAGCTTGCAGAAAATATACTACGAGGCGAGGGAAGCTGCAGAAGGTGCATATAATTATAAGCAAAAGGAGAAGGAGCTGCTGCTTCAGATCGAGAAGCTTCTGCATCAAAAGGATCATGTTCTGGAAGAAAATCAATCACTCAAGTTAGAGAAAGCAAAATTTACAGACATGGATATACAGTCTCGTAATCGTCTGGAAGAACTTCAGAAAGAGTTGAAGCAGCGAACTATGGAAGCAAATGAGGGGAGGGAAGCGCAACAGAATCTACAGAAGCTTCTAGAACCCAAGTCATCCCTCTTGCATAGCTATGAGATGACCACAAGAGAGCTTGAAGAAAGAAATGCCACGCATATACAGGAGCTAATGAAGAAATCAAAGGAAGTTGATGAGGTAATGGAGCTACAGAATAAGCTTCTCCAAATGAATGAAACAGCATCCACTATGATAGTAGAGAAAGATGTCCAGCTGAAGGAGTATGAAGAGAAAACCAATGGGCTTGTTTCAAAACTTGAAAATATGGAGAACAGAGTTAATGAGCTGCTGTTGGAACTTAAATGCAAGGTGGAAGAAGTGGACAAGGGGAAGGAATTGCAAAGTAATATGCTCAAGAAAATTGAATCTCAATCCTTAGAGTTAATGAATAACGAACAACTGCTGAGTAAGTACAAGAAGGATAACTGGCTTCTTGCATCAGAAGTGGAACGCCTGGTGAATCGTTCGGATTCCATCCAGAAAGAACTGGAGACGAAAAGCATTGAACTGGAAGAGGTATGTAAAGTGAAAGTGCAGTTGCTAGAACAAAGTGACTCTTTTAATGTTGAGAGGATCAAGAGAGGGCAGGTGCTGGAGGAACTTATGGAGGAGAGGAAGCAGCTTTTGGATAAACAGAGGGAATTAGAAAATGAAGTCATTAGGCTTCAAAATTGTGAACAGTAGAATCTTGTGAAGGCGTGGAGGTGCATGGAAAATTGTTGCAGCAGATTGAGGTTAAAGATTCTGAGTTACTGGCTGAAAAGAATAAAAAAAGGGATGTTATAACTGCGTACAAGAAGCTGAAATCTCAATACAATTATCTCCTCAAAAAGTATGCTCTTACTTCGGAAGCTGCTTTACCTCTTGGAAAAATGAAAGATGAAAAAGAAACAATTGGGTGCAATCAGAATCTAGTCGCATCACATGGTAAGCTCCATGGTTACTGTATGGATTCATTTTACCACTTCATCTTTTCTTGAGATGTCAATATGACTTGCTGTCTAGAATATTTTGGGATAATTATTGATCAATAACCAAAAGAATGTCTGCTATTTCACCATGCAGAATTGATTGTTTTACGGCTTGACGCGTTCTGTTCAATACGGCTCTGTCCTCATTCTCCTTTCATTCTCTTTTTGCAGTTATGGAGAAAAATAAAACTTCTGGTATTACCGGTGATGTAACAAAAAGACTAGACAAACAACGATTACCAGAAGATGGGAAAGGACGTACATTTGTTCAAAGATCTAGCCTCGCCTCACCATCAACTTCAAACAATATAATTGCCCCAAAAGGCACCAACATAAAATCCTGTCCCGCAGCTGGTGCAAAACGCCCTATTTCTTACTGGAGGGACACGAGGTCGCACCAGAGCCATGTAGGACCCGATCCACATGATAATTTCCTGGATACTCCTCTCGAAAATGTGAGGCAGAACTTGGGGAAGGCTGTAAAGGAAGACGGCGATGATATGAATGTCGATGCCGGGCTGCAAAATCCACACGTGTCCCCACCCAAGACTGAGAAATCGGGCTTCAAGTATGTGGGGCCCGTACGTAGGAAATCCGAGAGGGAAAATATGGAAGGCGTCGAGTGCAAGCAATGCAAGAAGTTCTATGATGCTGTTCTGCCCGGTTCAGTTGGCGGTGATAAGCAGAAGAACATTCGCTGTGAGCATCATGATGGAGTGTCTCGGCACCGGTATAGGTACGCTCCTCCTTCGACTCCAGAGGGGTTTTGGAATATTGGATTTGAATCTGAAATGTGAAATGTAGGTCTTTTGAGTTATTTGTATATTGCATGAGGAAAAATAAGAGTGGCAACATT